ACTACCGAAACAAATTGGGAAGACCAAAGCGGATTCTTTGCTCCGTTGTCCAACTGTGGTTTTTCTCCACGGCGAAAAAATTTATGCCTTCAAAACCCAACAAAAAAAGAAACAAGGAAAAATAATAATAAAACCTAAATTTAAAAGATTTAAAACGACAGAATGAATAAATTCCAACGGTATGTTCAATTCAAAATCTTTTTTTTTCTGGATAACAAACAGAATTTTGATGTATGAAAGAAAGTGAAATTGGGTTGCAACTTTTCGGCTTGGAAGCTTGGGTGTTTCCTTAACAAAGTTGATAATCATATCAGTTAACTTTTTTGACCTTGAAAATTAAAAACTCGTTGCAATAAGATCACGTGAGTTATTTTTCTTGTTAGATTCCTGAATAAATACCGCATTTGTAACGATTTAGATACGCAGACCAAGAGGGTTGCGGTTACAAACCCAATCGGTAACGTAGTCTGCGAAGGTGTAAAACCCAACCGCATCGAACCCGACGACATAAATTCGTTAATGAATAAATAAACTCGTGTTGATTATAAGATACACAACGCGGCAAACGCGGCCGACCCTCCTTTACCTGTCGGGGGTGGCTTATATCGACGACGAGGGTTCGCTAGTTCTGCCAAGGTTGTATCCAATGGACCTATAGCTTTAAAATGCATATTTTGATTACTATCCTGTGTCAAACTGATTTGGAAACTATTTTCAAGCTGAGCAGAGCAGCTAAAATGAATATTTCCTTTACATTATCTAAAAACTAGCTACTAAAAATTGTCTAATTTCCTAAACCGTCAGTCTCAATTGTGGGACCCTGTTAAGGAGACCGTAAGATTTTGCAGTCGCTACCATATCCTCTGGTCCACCCCCCCCCCCCATCCATCATAGGGAAAAGAACCGGCCACAAAAGAAAACTCTGTAAAATAACTTCGCCATTAAAACCTTTTAACAGAGCGGAAATCGTAAATATTTCTATGGCGCGCGAGGAGGATCCTCCCCCCTCCACCTCTCGCGCCCGCCTAATTAGAATTTCTTTTCATTAGATCTTGAGACATTTATTAGGCGGTTAGCTGACGTAATTAATATGCGGTCGCGTTTTCATTCGAGAGGGGCGGCTGTAAAACGCCGCCGCCCCCGGTGTCGCATCGCGAGCCTCTTTGTTTGTCCGATTAATCTTTGGTATTAATAAAAAGGTTTTTGTTGAAAAGTAAAAAATTAAAAAATGCCAGTCGTGTACGGCAAAGTTGTGAAAACGTAAACTACGACGCGTTAATAGGGAAGGGAACAGCACAGTAAAAGAGAACATTTACGTTTCTCAAAGAAACAGGTAACTGTAATACTTTTTCAAACTTGCCGACGTTTCGCCAATCATCCTGTTGGATTCTTCAGAGCTTGACACCTGAATCCTGAATCGCGGTTAAGATTGTTAGGTTGTTTATAGATTTCTATTGATTCTCGGATTTTTCATTGGTAGAAGAATTGATTACACGCAAGAATTTTAGTTCTATCCAATAAAATTTTATGTCCGGTTTCGTGATCGTGTTCGGAAACTGCTGCGGAGTTTATTTCTGTTAGTCTTAAGTTGATATTTTTCGTCCAGTCTCTGGAATGAATTCGTTGCCGCATATGCATGCAATGTTGTAAACCGACTTACCTCTGCTCTTCTCTCTAATAATTATATTATATTTCCACATTAAAGATATTAAGCGTCCCATTACAAAATACACTTAACCACAACAATAGCATTGAGGCCGAAAGCAATCCTACACTTGCGACTGTGGTCCTTCCTTACATTTAAAACATCACTGACTACATATCAAAAGTTCTAAAGAAATATAACGTCAAAACCAGGTTTACCACTCGTCCAAAAATCTCTCAACATCTTCGATCCGCCAAAGACAAAATTCTATTTCAGATACCAGGAGTTTACATTTCAAAATATTGCGTGACGCCACTGGCACAGCGGGCTAAAAAAGGACGCCCCGGTATAATTAAGAATATAGAGAGCCCGTGTCCGGTATGGGATGGGGAATGTCTTCCCGGTCTCTCCCAAATATATCAACCGAATTTATCATGTTTAATTTGTAGACTAATGCGCGGTATATATAAGCGCGTATGTGTATGTGCGTGTGGGGGGAGTATGGGGTAGGTGCGTACGCGGGGCGGAACATAAAAGGGTTGGATTTTTTACGGACTTTGAATTATTTATTAAATTTCGCAGGGCCTTGGATTTTGGGGAGATCTTTTATGTTAGACCCAATTAGCATTCCCGGTATATATGCGTATATGGTTCAGGAGGGGCGGGGCCGTAATTATTTATGTATATTGCGTAACGGGAATGCAAATGAAAAATTCAGGCTGACCGCGACCACGAGGAGGAAAGGTTCACGGGGATTTCTTCGAGCCGCTTTTGAATATTCAAAATGTATTAATTTGAGGGCAGTGAATTTTGAGTATCCCGCTAAATTTTACTAAATTATATAAAAAAATAATAACCAATAAGCTTTCGTAACGCAAGATTCAAAATGAAAGATTTTTGAAAACATTATTAAATAAAATATTTCGTTGGTCTAATTTAACAACAACATCGATACTATACTATACTATACGACTCAGAAATTTTAAAATAGAAAAAACCATCTTAAAGTGAAGGATTGTTTCTTACTTCCTGGAAAGAAGCAACTAACCAATTGATTTTTGTTCCTTGTTCGCTTCCAAAGGGTGCCTGTTTTTCGATATTTCTTCGGAGTATAGCTTATCTATAAAGAAGCGGTTTTGAGATAAAGTGCTCCAGTTTTTTGAAAGGAAAAAATCGAAAATAATGTACAGAGTATAAAATTCAAGTGGAATCCAACTTATAAATTGGTTAAGGCTTTCGCGGCCCGTTGATAAGCTATTATCTTCATTCGGGTTTAAAGGCCGTCGTCGATTGGAATTACTTCCTAACGTTTCGCTAGCACGAGTGGAGAGCTTCTTCAGAGGTCCTTCCATCTCCGATGTTGGACGTAGACTGACGATTTCTCCTGCGCAGGTTGTATTTATGCCGATTGGTGGAGGGCGGGGCTTGTTCCGCTTCGGTTGGTCTCGGGATATCGATCGGTACTGCTCGGGCGTTCGTAAGGATCGGGTTCCAGATTTGGTTGAGTCTAAGGGTCTCCTCCTTTCGGTTGAAATTGTGTGGGTGTTTTTGAATCTCAATGGCTTCCCTGACTAGTCTGTTGTGATAGCCGTTGACCGATGCTAGTAACTTACTACTCTCAAAGTGTATCCTGTGTTCCCCGCTGCCCAGTGCGTGTTCAGCCACTGCAGACTTCTCTGTATGTCCTAGCCTGCAGCTTGCTTTATGCTCCTTAAGTCTCGTTCCCATTGATCTCTTGGTAGTTCCGATGTAGACCTTTCCGCATGAACACGAAATGCGGTAGACTCCCGCAGCTGAAAGTGAGCCCCTCTTGTCCTTCGCTGACCTGATGGTCTGCTGGATCTTCTTTGTAGGCTTAAAGATTGTTTTGATGTCGTGTCTTTTCAATACTCTGCCAATCCTGTCGGTGACACTCGGAATATACGGCAGATATGCGTGGGAGGTGGAGGGTCGTTGTTCGGTATCCCGTGATCTTGATGATCTTGAGTTCATTGATCTCTCGATCTCCCTCTTACTGTAGCCATTTGCCTCGAACGCAGTTTTTAGGTGTTCAAGTTCCATCTGGAGGTTCTCCGGTTCGCAAATCCTTGGGGCTCGTTCTGTCAGGGTTCTGATAACCCCATACTTTTGACTTGGGTGATGGTTGGATAGAGCATGCAGGTATCTGTCCGTATGGGTTGGTTTTCTGTAAACTGTGTGGCCCAGCTTGTTACCTCGCTTCCTCACTAGTACGTCCAAGAATGCAAGTTGTTGGTCATTTTCAGTCTCCATAGTAAACTGGATGCTGGGGTGCTGACTGTTGAGATGCTGCAGAAAGTTGTTGAGCTTGTCCATACCATGTTTCCAAATCACGAAGGTGTCATCCACGTACCGGAACCACGTTGCTGGCTTGTACTCTGAGGTCTCGGCCACTCTAAAACTGGAGCTGCATTATCTTGCATTAAATTACCAAAACAAAATCACCAGAGGCTTAGTACAGGCTGCAAAACTAAGACATACCTTTGACCTATTCGGTTTTGTCGAACGGGAATTTAGGAGTTATTTTACCAATAATTCCACGCCCTTGTCGTTAGAAACAGGTAGGTTCCAACCTCTTAAAATTCGCTTGTCATCGGATCGAAAATAAGACATTATCTCAATCTTCAACAGTCCAATTTTCATGATTCAAACACCAAGTTAAACGGACCCTTAACTGTAAATAATTTCCCAACGCGAAGTCGCTAAGCGTTTTTCTGCAAGTTTCGACCGAAACCACCACACCTGTAGCTTGAACGTGTCGCATTTGAAGCTCGAGACGAGAGCTCGAGTATTTCTTCTCGCTATTTGAGCTACAAACCGATCTTGTTCTTTTGTAGTTATTCTTAGGACTTTTCGGTCTATCATTTGGATTTCCTAATTCCAGAAACCTAGAATAAGTTTTTGAAAAAATCCCCACCGTTCTCTAAATACAAAAACAAATTAAACGAATAGTTTATATTAATACTGGGTGATTCTAAATAGGTTTGTTGTGTGAACCCCCATTTTTTACTTAGTAGAAGAGCACCCTCGTCGACCGAGATCCGGTCAAAGCCGCGGGACGCCGCTAATGTACCGCGTTCCCGAAAACCCGGAGTTCTTTCCTGTCGCGTCCGACGAAACCGAGCACTTAAACAATATTGTAATCCCGATAACGGTTGCTTTTCTAATCCTCGACGACGGAAACTTCAACAATTTAGCGAAGCCGACGGCGATTATATTTGTAATGCATATTCAAGGCTAGGATTCTAAGGTTCGACAAAGTTTGGGTCTCCGCTCTCCCCGGCTTTGCGTTTACGACAACGACGATGAGCAGTTTCGTTTTCGACGCAACGCTCACCTGCAGTACACCACCTCCTTGTTGTGGTCGAACGCGCCGTGGGGCGGAAATCTACGGGGCAGTTGTAGTACCAGCACTCCGTTGGGTCCGGCTACTACCAACATGGTTCCCGTCTCATTTGCTAGTATACGTTCGGGGGTGAAGAGTGGCGGGTGAAGGGGTAATAATTTCTGGAACAAATTTCATATTGCAGTACGGAATGAATATTGAATTTATTTTGCACGTAATGGGATTACATCCCACAAGTTTCTATGAGTAGATCAGTAGTGAGAGTTCTAAGCCGCTTTGAGCGGGAAAATTTGAATTGGCGTGAATATTAGGCTGACTTGTAATAATGAATAAATGTAACAGCATACTTAGGTGGATATTAGCAGTGGTAAAAGTTTAAAAATTCATATACAAGAAATTTAATTTTAGATATAAATTTTCCTTCAAAAAAACACTTCGGTTGCTACCTGATGCAGCGTACTCCCAAGTATTCACTCCCTCAGACACAGCCCCCGTACAAAGCCCGCTATTTTATGAGGGGATAACTTAATCAGATCTTCAAGTCTGAGGGTTTCATTCCCCGGTTTGGAGGACTTTCCCCACAATATGTGCTCTGCCGTTTCCTCATTTTTGAAGCACAACCGGCATTAGTTGTCATTGGTGAGTATTGCTAACATTGCTAACAGAGTGTCAGTTGTGCGTGGGATTATTATCATTCCAATCTCTTTGTACAGTGAACGTTACCTATTTTCACAGTAAAACATATTTTAAGATCTGCTGGACTAGTATTTTTAAATCGTTACGTTTTATGCGACTATATTTTGAAAAATTCAATAACATTTTTTATTTCGGGGAACGTATAAAAACTTCTAGTTAGCATTCGGGACGTTTTTCTCCATTCTTCAGACCACTACTACATTTAGCTGTACGAAATATACCTTATAAGCACTTTTAAGTAAAACTAATCTCCTCTATCTCCTGTTTGAGTGTGAACAATGAATGACCTAGGAGACACCCTGCATAAATTATGTATTAATTATTTATGTTACTTTAAATGTATAATAAGAACAAAAAAATGAGTATCGGAGCCACTTGTTGTTCAGTACCAATTTCCGAACGGCTGATGGTGCGGGGTGTCTATAAATATCGCCCGTCATTGCAACGCACTAAAAAATTTCTCACCGCCAGCGTAATTGTTTTCCCGCCGCGTTTTGTTAAGCGAAAAAAAAATGGCGCGTAAAGAAACCCGAACCATAATCTCCGGGCGATATTTATCGCAAAAATTGATAAATGTACCAATTAAGGGCAAAAAGGCGCGCCTTCCTTTTTTAATATCGGCCCCGTTAAAAAACGGCTATTTAATCTTGGTTATGGCGAAAAATTGCTAATTTAAATCGAAGAGTCTCGCTTACCGACGCGCCCGACCCCCTCGAGTAGTATAAATTATCGGAATTATTGCATTAAAAAATCCATCTTGGCGGTTTTTCTTAACTGATCGGGCCCGCGGCACTTTTCCCCGCATTAAAAACGGCGATCGTTGGATATTAAGAATTTGAGGAAATGGGGGGACCATAATTGCCGATTTTCCGAAAGTATCCGATCGTCCCGGACCACCTCACTCCCCCCGGGTACGCACGTTAATTTAATTTTCTTACAAATTGCATCCGCAAATGATTCCTTAAGTAAGGGAGTAAGATTCCAACGGTGAACTCCACCTCTTCAACTGGAATGAATCATTACATGCCAACCAAGCACCGCTTGAAGTGTACAATAAACTCTGGAATGAGAACGTCTACCCCAAAGCCTGGAGAGAAGCAATAGTGATAATAAATAAAAATAAATTAGAACCCTCAAGATTTCGACCAATTAGCTTGACCAATTGCTCGCGTCGACGTTACTGGTTTTTAATAGTAAAGTCGACGCGAGCAAACGTCGCGTATCGATATTTTTTAAACCCTTATATGTATTTTAAATGTTTCGTTAACTTTGTGTGTATTATGTGTGTGACTTCCGTATACAAATTATTTTTTGTTGGACTTTTATCTTTTATCAGGGGCACTATGACAAAACCAAACGCTTTTAAAGTATAGACCTTGCATATGATGCTACCTCTCCAAATTTAACCCAATAACCAAAAGCTAAACATATATATAGAGAAGTTCTACGAAAAAACAAAATATAAACTATATATATATATATATATATATATATATATATATATATATATATATATATATATATATATATATATATATATATATATATATATATATATATATATATATATATATATATATATATATATATATATATATATATATATATATATATATATATATATATATATATATATATAATCGGCATATTATAATTTTGTTTTATTTATAATTAAATAATAACCGAATAACAACGAGATCGATATTAGATATATGAGGCTTTAGTGAAATTTGTTTATTATTTTATCATTTGTATATCATTTGTATGATATGGTAATGTATATTTGTGCGTATTATTTCAAAATAAAAAAAAATCAGTATTTTGGAATTCTTTAGCTATTGGATTGGTTGTCATAAAATGTTTAGAAGAAAATTTCAATTTTTTTTATTCACCAACAAATATTGGTAAAATTTTAAAAATTTGGTATTTTTTTTTATATTTTGTTAGTAAATGTTTCATCTTTTTTTTTTTAAACTAGAAAGATTCAAAATATTTTGAATTTCTAAATAAAACAATTTGCATGCTATCCTATTAACTTCCACAAATCCTGCTTGTTTAACATGCGAATTATTCGGCACTTTGAACGACTATTAAATTTTCGTTTGTTTTCCGATTATAAAGGGAAATCGATACCGGGAAATTTAATAACCACCGCACGTTTCGTTTTCCGCGACGTATTAGACGAAGGATTAAACCCATCAGATAATAAAGCAATCAGACTTAATGTTCCATTACGGAAATTGGATTCAAATATTGACAGAAATCTTAAATTCTAATTTCTTATCGTTCACCGGGACGGAAGTCAATTGGACTAAGAGAAAACAATAAACGGCCCACGTCATATAATTGTTGCTTAAAATAAATAGGTAAAATGTGGAAATATCGAACAAAACATTAATTGTCATTTACGATCGAATTAACGACACAAAAAGAGGCAGTTGGTACATTGGGTGTCCAATTTTGTTATGATAAACTGTAAACAATCAAAAATTTGCAACTGATTTTGATTGTTGCATTTGTTTTTTATTTCCTTTGATTTTCTTGGTAGTTACTAAGGAGAATAGAGCCATATCGAATCCATTAAGGCAAAGCTTTCAATGAATTAACTAAAAAAACTTAATGAAGACAGAAAAAATAAAGTACTTAGGAATAACAATGGATACAGAATTAAAATGGAATAAACATTTACAAAACAAACAAACAAAACATTTTTATAATTTCCTAGATGAGGATTTAAGGCAGAGATTTCTAATTTCAACATCATTAAGTGCTTATTAAAAACTTCTCAAAAAATTTATTCTATCTGTAAGCCTCGAAGCAATAAACTACTTAATAAATATAGATGCATGAAGAACAAAAAGTAAACGAAATGTGAGAAAAAAAACATATAGATATATGCAAGAATAAATAACAAAAAAAGGGGAAAACGTCGAAAAAAAAATACTAAGAATTAAGTAATATTTATGTTTAAAATTTTTATATTATGCAGGTTAGATTTTGTATTTTATATAAATGTAGCAATTCCTTTAAACATTTGTTAACGTCACTTTTTGCAATATTTGGCAGGTTAAATTTATGATACGTGATCCCGAATAACTTAAGGGTTTTAGGGAGAATTTTCATTTATTTATTTTGTTGCTTACGGAATAAGCTTATTATTATGAATGACTAAATCAGATACATTTTTCAGAAATGATATGGAATAGGACGAATTTGCGGTCATCCGACGACTAATTGACGAGAAGATATTAGTCAAACATTGATTCAAAACACGCGATTGGGGGGCGCGTCTTTCCACCCCTCCGAGTCCGCGGCATCAAAGATAATGTCGCCCGAAATATTAATCATATTTTACGGCCCAGTAACGCTAATAACTCGGAACGGAAACGAACGAAAATCGAAACATCGCTGCTGGTTAAAGCTAATACGAAAGACACGCTGAAGATAAAATAGTATATACCAACCGTCGTAGTATCTCAAAAAAAGGCTGACCCTTAATAAAAAAAAACGAGTTCACGGATGATGATAGACATTCGTATAGCTCTTGATGCAACTGTGCAACTGCACCTATTACGAATAGATGAGCATCGTGTACTGCAGAGTAGTGAATTTTTAAAAAACATTTTATTTGTCTAACACCTTTTTGTGAACTAGATTCAAAATTATGAAAACTAAATGGTGATTGACCATTACGTGCAGACCGTATTAAGAAACGACCATCAAAAACGGCAAAGTTATGAAAAACAAATCCGACTCTAAACACATGCAGAGTTATTCTCTGACGTTTCTGTTTTTCGAGATCCTGATGGATTTGGGGGACGGATGAAACCCAATCGAACGAAAGGACTCGCGAAGAGGCGGAGGTTGGAGGCATTATCTCGACGAATTCGTCCCGAAGCCGCATCCGTTGTTGGTTTCGGATCCCGGAACTTCCCGTTCCGATAAAACTTCGGCTTGCGGGCGGCGGCGGCTGCATGAATCATCTTTTTCGCCACCACCGCCGCGCCGAGTCCGACAATAATAATAGCCCGTGAATTCTGAAAATTAACGCCGACCGACCTAACCACAACCGCCCCCCGACCAGCCCCGCCCCGAGACGACTTCCTTCTTCCGAGGAAGACGCCCGACCGACGACGACGTCGACGTCGGTCTATTAGCCGTCGCCATTATGAGCGGATGAATTATCGCGAGTGTTTTAGTACTTCCTCCCCCTCCGCGCCATTGTGGGGTGCTGCCGCTGCTCCTCCACGAAGGTGACACACGCAGGAAGCCTTTATTAGTCCTCCGGTATTATTATACCGCGAGAATTGCGACCGGATGACTGCGACCGTCTCCGGATCTTCTTAAAGTTCAAGCGACTCGTTATTGTTTGCTGATTTCTAGCTTGTCGCCATTGTTGGCGACCGTCGAAATTACCATTTCGCGTACCGGGGGGGCATCTTGGACTGCAACGAAGGCGGGATTG